TCTCAACAATATACGATCAATCCTGATATCAATCCTCACTCGGAATATCATTCCGACTGACACCAGGATCTGCTTTAAGTCATTTTGACAAATTACCTAAAAATGTATGTTAACTATATTTAATAGAGTCAATCTTATACCATATCCATCTGAATGATACGATACATCATATAAATTTTTTTTAGAGGTTAAGATGGTATTTCTACATTTGTTTTAAAAGAACATATCTAAAACATAAAATTGAAATTTAGATTACCTGAGAATATACGACATTTTTTCATTGAGTAAACAAGCCTATACACAACACAAACAACTATTAACTGTGGAATGTAAATCTGATGTTTTCGAAAACACTCGTGTTATTTTCCATGAAGCTTTTTCGTGAAAGAACAAGGAAAAAACTTTCATGAGTTGAAAGGCTTCATGTCATGAACACAACAAACAACTGAATTTAAAAAAAAAGAAAAACTAAAGGAATCTTAAGTCTGAAGAAGAATTTAAATGATGAGAAACTCTTACGCGATCGGTTTATTATTGAATTTAATAAATATATTAAAATCACCTTCAAAATATTATACACCTTAAACAGTTTTTATGAGCGATTTTAACTGGGTAATATTTCTATTTGCAAAACAAGTTTCCCAAAAATAGTAGTGCAAAGTGATGTAGTTAATCTTTTTTTTTTTACTATATTCAAATAACTGTAAAAAAAATAAAAATATTTTTTACTTTCCTACGGCACTGGGTAAGAAAAGCGTTAAGAGATCGGATAAAATTTTCGATGTGCGATTTTCAAAAGAACATTACGTTTCAGACACCTCTGAGTCTGAAAAATAAATTTTCAGCCGTTGGTCTGTCTGTCTGTGCCAAATTATCACGTGAAAGAGCAGATATATTTTGTTGCTTCTTTTTTGTTTTGAATACCGATGTCTGTGAAACAAACTCCTTTCGCAATAGCGGCTGCGAAATAAAAGAAAACATGTTTTTCCACTGACTGTAGCGCCATTTGACCGAAGCGATTTTAATGAAACTTTCCAATAATCTTCTACTCAAAGTCCTTTCAATGTTCGTATATGCAGTGAATAACAGAGGGAATTTAAGAAAAACGTTATAATAAAATAAAAAGGAAAAATGCTTTGGGGCCTAACTCACGAAGTATCGGTTTTCTCTACCTTTCAAATTTCCCTGAAAATAATTTTTTTTACGGTGAATTGGATTTTTTAAGCAGATTTTAATACATGAGTTAAATAATTTATAATAATACAAATGATGGCGTAGCATTACAGATGCATTTTAATAGTATTGAAACGCGTAATTCGGTTCCTTTATCCATTGATAACAAAAATCCTCAATATTAATCTTTAAATAATAATAGGATCGAAGTATTATATTAAAACACCTGCAAATGGCGCCTATATTTGAAGCAAGTTATTTTTTCTAAGGATTAAAAGACTATCTTGAAAGCGCAATTATAATTAAACGAATATACATCAATAGCGTTTATTTATCAAAAGATTGCAAATGACTACTTTTTTATTTACCACATTCGGTCTTTAATATCATGCGAATATTAATATTAATGGATTGATTCTCAGTAATTAGAGAGATAAACAATAAAAAACAAAAGAAATATTCATAAACACGTGTAAGAGTCGGATAAAAAGCGATGAGATAATATAAAACTGTTAATACAAATTATAAATACAATCTCCGATGCTGACAAAAGAATGTTTAAACTATATCTTTATTTCCTCCTTTTGGCATAAGTAAAGATTGAAGTAACCAAAAGTTTTATTAATTATTATTATTTTTTAAAATTTAATATATTATTTACCTTTTGTTAGTAGTATTCACAAGCATTAATCATAAGCATAAAGTAAACAGAAATACATGCAGGTGAACAGTAAAAACAAGTTTAAGTGTGACATAAGTGTGAATATTTGAATTATAAAGAAAACAAAAAAAATAATATAAAATATTTTCTTATCTCAAATTTGTTTATTTTATATATTTTTCTCTTAAATAAGCAGTTATTGAAAATTAATTTTAGTAGGTAATGTATATATATATATATATATATATATATATATATATATATATATATATATATATATATATATATAAAACTATTAAAACTATTGGCAACATAACATAAGGATTAATACTATTTGAAATTAGCATTGGGAACTCTCAATAACATTTATCAGTTTGTAAGAGTCTTTCGCAGAGTACTCATCATTATGCTTTCCATTTATACTAATGGTGAATATGCCAGGCGATTTTCGAATAGAAGATTACCTAACGACGGTTGAAACAATAGCACATATCCAAAAAAAAAAAAAAAAAATTGTTTATAGTTCTTGATACATCCGAGGCGTCTGAAAAGAAGATGGCCCCGATCTCCTTTTGTAAATACATTTTTAGAGTGCTAACAGTGGGTTGTTTCTCAACAAGTGGTTTCATGTTATTATATTCTTGTGTTCACATTTACTGGATTTGTGATACAGTTGTAAATATCATAAATAAAATTAAAAAAAAAAACGTTCTTGATTAGTTAAGCTTATAAAATGTTATTCAAAATGACTTTTTTGCAATAAGCCTACGATATGTTCTGTGTATATAAAGTATTGGACTTAATCATTCATTCCCATTATGCGTTTTCTAAATAATAATAAGGCTTAGCGAACCCGAAGGTTCGATGCCGACACCACCAATCGCTTGTTATGCGTTTTCTAGCCTTTCTTTTATTTGTGAGAAAATATTTTGTATTATTCCCAAACCGAAATATACATATCATATGACTAATAATATTTAAACGAAATTCCCACCGTCATTTAATTAACAAAGATAAACAAAGCATTCATTATCATTTACATGAATTGATTGTTCTTAATGGATGCATGTTAGTATACTAATTTGTTAACAATCAACTGAAAGTGTTTATTTTATTTGGACAATAGTTAATTTTGTTTAATTGGTTTGAGAAAGTATAGTTTTAAATAATTAAAAAAAAAATCATTGAATCTTTAGTTTTGTATTTTACTCTAATTGAAATAAAAATATTAGAGAACTTGTCTGTTATACTGATAATTAAATAATATTGATCAAATGATTCTCATAGGCGTTATTCTGTTTAATGATTAAAATACAATATCGATGTCTTTGTGTTTCACGTCCTTAAAATCGTAAGTGCAAATTATCAAAAAATTAGAGAGGATTCTGGATGCTCTCAAACTAAGTTTTTCTTTGAATATATCACAAATTATGGTTATAAATATAGAAATTAAACAAAAATAAATCAAAAAGTTCAACATGAAAATGGCTCTTTTAACAACACAGAAAATTTCAACAAAAAGATTATAATAAAGAGGGATAAAAACAACTTCAATTACAACATAAAAGAAGCATTTTTTTTTTTTAAACAGATCTTAAAGGACCACTCGAACAAAATGTTGGATAGTTTCTTTCTTTTCTTCTCGAAGTTCTTCATTCTTTCAGACAGCTCGTTCATTCTTTCAGACAGCTCATTCCTTCTTTCATCAGTCCAAGTTCTTCTGCTGAGATTTTTCATTTTCCACAATCCAGAGTCTTCTTCTTTTGCAATATAAAACCTTGAAAGCTTTTCCTTCATGTATTTATCATATCCACCTCGACTTTTATATCTCCTGTGTCTTGAAATTGCCAATGTTTGAAACAAGCTCTTAAATATTGAGCTGTTTGAAATTATCTTTTCTTTTCCTGTATATTCCGAAAGTTTTCGTAAACAAAAAAACTTAGATTTTTGCTTTACACCACGTGAAAGAAGTGAAAACATGAACATGGTGAGAATAATAATATGAAATATTAATGATAAATAATAGCTAATTATAAAGAGGATGAAATGCTGAACGTTTCCCTCGCTTACAGTATGAAGGTACGATTTTTAGTTTCTGAGATATTTTAATCCATAAAACTAGCTTTTATTTGGTTTGGCTTTTTCCCTTTTCGGTGCTCTAATACGGCGTCGTCGCGTTAAGAAAGATTTGTAATAATAGCTCATTCATTACAAAGAGGATGAAATGATGAACATTTCCCTCGCTAACAATATACAGGTCCAAATTTTAGTTTTTGAGATATTTTAATCCATTACAAAAATACTTTAATTTGTCGACTCCAGTCGACTCTACTCGAGCGTTACACATCAGAGATCTGACGGCTCAATGTTAATTCACTCTCTACTAAAAAGTGCTAAACGCGCCTTAAGAAGTTTTAGGTGGATATTAATAATTTGATAATGAGGTCGCCGTGACCAGGTTGAGAATAGGACACACGAACCTAAGTCATGTACATCTCATCACTAAGCAGCCACCATCAAATTGTCAACACTGCAATAGTCCTCTCACAATCAATCATATTTTCCAAGAATGCACTTATTATACTTCAAGCCTAAATCGATTATCTCTAAAACCGGATATATCATCAGTGTTAAGCAACAACGAATCAGTAAAAATGTAAAAACAAGAAATAAAATCTTTGAAACACTGTATATTGTAGTAATTTTTACGTGGGTACTTTTAGAAGGCAGGATAAAAAACCACACAATTTATTTACACAACTTGAGTAGTGAATCTTAAATTTTTGCCTAATAAACCTTAACTTAATTAATATTAAGTTTTAACCAAAAAAAAATTTTTTTTTTTAAAGTGCGGTATTTATAGTATAGTTTGACGATGATAAACAAAAAAAATCGTAAATAATTTTTCAGAAAAAAAAACAGTGATAAAATTTCTTAAAATCCATAGACTATTGAATAAAATATAAAAATAAATATAATTTTTATTTTATTGGTCTTTCTTTTTTTTTATTTATTTTTTTTATATGGTTTTAAATATCTTTTTCATTTATTACTCTAGATATCTATTATTAATTTTTTATTGTTCATTCTTTAGTTCTCCTCTTACAAATATAACAAGCAGCCTAAATAAACAAGCATACAATAATTTGATAAAATGGTGTCTGTTTCATGGACTATGCGTGATGCTCACGACACCAGATTTTTTATTTATGTTCTGTAAATGGAAATAGGTGTCGTGAATTTCGTTGATAATGGACTCCATCGTCATTCCTTCATTCATAACGAGGAAGAATGAAGACTGTTGTGGAATGGAGAGGACTGAAGGAGGGTAGTATATGATGCTGCGGTGGCCAGGCCCAACCGGCGCCACCAAGTCGCTCCTGTTTAGAGCAGCTCCGCCACAGTCCTCAGTCCTTAGCGCTAATAATCCCTTCTTCGTCCGTCTGTCTGCCCAGCTCACTATATGCCCTTCGTATCTCTCTCCTACCAACAGATCTCTTCTATTTCACGATTTTTCTTTATTTATTTATTTTTATTATAGAAATTTACAACTGTATTAAATAACAAATACAACAAACAACATGAAGAGAAACTACCCATTGGTAGCACTCCAATTATATTTCTATATTAGAAAGGCCCCGAGGCCATATTCTTGTCACACACTCCGGAGGGTTATCAGGAATAGAAGAGGAAGCAAGGTGGTTTGGATGGTTCAGAAGTTTATTATGAAAGGACAAGTAACTGTATTGAGCTAAATTGGAAACATATGGTACATTAAGGTCATTATGGATGATTTTATTTGTGACAAAGTAGGGAGCATTAAGGATTTTGGATTGAAAGGAGAGGTGCAGTAGAGCCCCAAAGCTCAAATAGGACTTATTATAGTAATATATATGAGTCTTTTGTAAATAGTTGGAAGTTTATAGTTTGCCGAGTAAGTTCTGGAGCAGTCGGAAACGGGCGGTTTCGAGTTGTTTCAGTCTGATATGGGGGTTCCAAGTGAGTCGTTTGTCAAGGTGGAATCCTACGTATCGGATTTGTTCAACAGGGATAAGTGGGGTATTGTTAAAGGATACAGGAAGTCATAGGTTTACGACGATTTCACGAATTAAATTTATAGTCATTCTCTATAATCATTCGCGTAATAAGACCACGTATGTATTCCGCAGTATCGCTTTTTATCAAATAATTAACACCCGCCTAAAACTTGGTGAATAGTTTCATCTCATCGAAACCTACAACTTTTTTGGGGTCTTTTGCACATTAGCTACGTTTTAAATAGGAAGTATCAGTTACAGTTGAATCAATGTTGTTATTCTTCTATTATATAAACATCTGTGAACAGATCATATTTCATACAAAGAAAACACATGATATCCTGATAAAAACACATGATTACTGATAAAACTTAAAGCCTTCCATCTCTTCGTTATTCAAACTGGAGTATAATCTAAACATTTGAAAGTTAACCAGCATCAAATATACACTTAGTATATTAATAATAAACCGTGAATATCAAAACAATTATGTTATTTGTTTTGTTGAATCTCAATATCCAAAGAAAATATATATTATTAACAGTCGAGATATATGATTCCTGATAAAACTTAAAAGGCTTAATTCTCTTCGTTATTAAAACTGGAGTATAATTTGAATTTGTCCACAGACGTTTATGTACTAGAAAAATAACAACAAAGATTCAAATGTAGCTGATACTTTTCCGTAACAGTAACTTTTTCCTATTTCAAAAGTAACTGACGGGGTTAATGTGAAAAAAAAAACTTTTTTTTTAAGTAAAGACTTCTTTAGGCTCCACTTTTTTGTGGAGAGTGAATTACATTGAGCCGTCAGATCTGCGAGTAACGCTCGGGTAAACTCGGCAGGAGTCGACAAATTGAAGTATTTTTGCAATGGATTAAAATATCTCAAAAACTAAAATTCTGACCTGCTTATAGTCTGACAGGACATTTAATTTAAAAATAAAAACTTTGTTATGACCCTGGTAATTAATATACAAAATAATAATAATTTGACTTTATTCATCAAAAAAAATTTTTTTTTGTCACATCAGAGGACAAAATCAATTATATATTAAAGATCTAATTGTATATTACCTATATCCATTAAATTCATATAAGTCACAGTTCGTTTATTGATTAAATCATAATTCACTTGTTTTAAATAAAATACTTATTTTACAAAACAATAATAATGAAATACAATAATAATTTATTTTATTATGAAATACATAAATAATTCATTTTTCATAAACTGAGTCCTAGAATAAGCTTGAGTAATATATAACCCACACGCACACATGTACAACTTAAGTATGAATACTTGTGTACGAAATAGAACTCATGAGCCTCAACTGAATTTATTAATGGACTTGCCTAATTGACTTAATTAAGTTGAGTAAACAATTAACATTGAGATAAATGCATCTATTAAACTCATAGACTAGAATGACCTACTAAAGAAAGTTCAATGCTTCTGTATTTGAAGACGTTAATAATAGTTTTATTTATTCTTGTTATAAAGTATTATTTTAATTTCGTCTTATTATATACTCCGATATTCATATTTTATTATGATATTAATAATTCGAATGTAATTTAGGAATTACTTAATTAGGTTATTTTTATATTTTTTCAAGAATAATTTGAAAAAAAAAGTGTTTATAGCAAGAGCAGGAAGAGGAGGAAAATATTTAAACAGGTAATAGAGCTCCAGAAAATTTCATATAAATAACGGTCCGATCTTGTCAGAGAAGTAGGAAATTTAAGATTTGTGTTTTAAAATAATTTACGTTTTTTGTTTAATAAAAAGCGATAACTAAGAAAATTGTTGTATCGTCTGCGTAAATTATATATAGCAGCGGAGCGAGCACTGATCCTTGAAACACTCCTGTGCTAATGCTGGTTTAATGGTAGAAAGTTAAGACTGAGGAAAATCTATCAGAAAGAAAAGATTGAAGTTTGAAGGGAGTATCGTCTTAAGTTTAAAAAGAATCCTGATGACAGACTTTATGGAACACTTGAGAATCATCTAGAAATAGTCCTGTTGCATATAATATATGCTGTAGTGCAATTGCGATGTAGCCCGTCACTCGATGTAATTGATGAATGGTTGAATGTCGTCTTCGGAATCCAAAATGATGTTCATGTATTATGTCTTCGTTCGTCAGTATGTCATGATAGCCCTGGAGCCAGGTCCCAAAAATCGACCTCTTCGCAGGCGAAGGTTTAATTGTAAATTACGAAAGTATATGTTACACTGAGTAAAAATAATCTGGTCTGCCGTTTCAGAGCCGCTGCTTAAAAAATGGCGGCTGATTTAAAGAATATTAGGCCAGTAATTTGAGGATCGAAACGGAAAATCCATTGCGAAAAATTTGAGAAAAGTTTTTATTTTTTTAACTTGTATATGTGGGTTTAGACATGTAAGAAACAAAATTGTTAACAAGGGTCACCATGGGACAACTTATAACAGCCAAAAAAGCCAGTTTGTTTTTTCACCTATAACTCCTAAACGATGCATCAAAGCGAAATATGTACTCTTTAATAAAATGAAGAACGTTAAATTGTGCGTCGAACGAGTACATAAACTTTATAATTTGGTTAAATGGTAAGATATAAAACCACGGTCAACCAACGCTGATTTTTACCAAATTAGTCAAAAACTGAGACAAATTATTATAAATGGCCATGCAACCTAGAAATGAGTTTCTTAAGAGGAAAAATCTATAGAATCAAAGTTGTAGAGCATTACATTTTTCGTCCAGTGAGTCCTAACATTTTTATTGTAGTCCTATTATACATCTCGAATCGGGATTCGTTATTCCGTAATTTACAATCAAACGTTCTTCTGCGATGAGGTCGATTTTTGGGCCCTGGCTCCAGGGTTATGAAGTATCTTATAGAGAAGTTTCTAAAAGAATTTAGAACACATAGGAAACAGGCTAATCGGTCTGTATGGTGAAGAGAAGTAGGTGTTCTTGTTTGGTATGTGAATCGTTGTAATGAATGAATATTTCCACTGTGAGGGAAATTTGGTTGTATTATTAAGATGGCTATTATAGAATTTGATTCCTATTTATAAATGACTGAAATGAATTCTTAAATTATTTTCATGAAAATGTAAATATTAGGATCAGAAACATCTAACTGGTCACTTATAAATTAGCCTCAACATTTCTAAACCGTCAATAAATAAATCTAAAAATAATTTAAATATTTCGATCCACACGCCAGTAATATATTTTCCATAATATTGCAGATATTTTAATGGACGAAAATAAGGATAAAAAAAAAAAGTAATATAAGAGATACGTGAGATGAAAGAAATAGTGATATTTATCTTAACAGTCAAAACAGGATATACCCCAAGGACAGTTCTGTATTTTCTGGCCTTATGTTCACGGCGCATTAACCTCAAATCGATACTGCAATCCAAAGAGGTAATTACAGTTCTATAATTAATTTAAAAAAAAATTAACATTACTAATGACAACATTTTTTTTTTTTACAAAACATATTTATTCCCAATACTGAAATTACAACATTTAAGAATTGTCGCAGATAAGAGCTAGACAAGGAAGTGGATGTTTACAAATTATCAATCCATTAGCGGCGGCCATCGAATCAATACGTGTAACTATTTTTAACACGAAATCTCAACGTTTTGTGAATAATGTTTCTTTAATAAAACGTGAAGAGCATACTTATATCGAATCGTGTCGGAGTCGCATCAAATGAAAATAGAGAAACTCGTTCAACGCTGTCGATATATAAGGGACTTAGAAGGTTCTAAAGTTCAATTGAGGTTATAACCAAGATTAAGGAGGCAGTGAAAAAACAAAACAAACTCTACTCCCTTTTGTTTCCTGTGTCAGATTATTAATTCATATTTTAGCATGTGCATGTGCTCTTACATCTTATATCTCTTGTATCTTGACTATCTTTTCTTGATGTTTAGATGTGGCATGCCATACTATTGTATATAGAATAAGTATCTTTTTTTGTTATTTATATTATCTTTATTATCTTAAATATCTTCCTATCTATCTTTAATTGTATGTATTAATTATGTTTAAATTATCTCTTTTTCCATGTATTTTATTTCTTTTTATTTTACATAGTATTAATTCTGTAAATAGATCTGTTAACCTTTTTTGCTGCTTTATTAAAATATGCAATCTAACCCCTTCTCACCTGAGCTAGCACGGTAGAGTAAATATTTAATGATGGCCAAATAATTGGTAAGTACCTTATGTTTTCTAGATTTATCTCTTTAGAGACGAAAGGCTAGTAAAGCCAGGTGCCCAACATATAAAAATTCCTATTGAAAATTATATTTATTAAAAATTATTTGATTATCTTTTTATTTACATATAAATAGTGGCGGCTGAAACGTGGAGCCTAGATGCATATAAAGCAGTAAATAAATGCGAATAATTA